AAAACTTTGTTTCTGCTCCAACGGCTTGTGTTTCTGTGCCCAGCCGGGTTGCGGCATTGTAAGCCAGCACCAAGGCGCCCAGCAGGAAGGTGGCAAGGCTGAGGCGAGCCTCAGAGCCCCTCTGAACCCGAGCAGTGCAGCTGCACAGCCTGCGGCAATTGCCCACATTAACATAGTGTTGACTTGTAAATGAAACCCCACTGAATGGAAAAGACACAAGAGACAATTCCTGGAAGGATCAGTCAGGGTCAGAAACTCAGACGCCTTGTGGGAAAGAGGAATTGAATACCTGATTGGCAAAGAGTATAGAAGGTGGTCCCCACCTCCCAGGTCAAACATCAAACAGCAATAATCTTGGAGACAGCATTGTTTCTTTCTCATTCTTGCTCAGAGAAGTCGCACTCTCTCCCTTGAAAATGCTCTGTGCTTGAGCCTGACTCTACTTTTCATCCAACTCTCATTTTGCTTCCACTGAATCTTCACTTGTGAAAGCAAAAATAACCAAAATGGGGAAAAGGACTTCAACAGATCAGCAAGCTTTCTATTAAGTAATGGAATGGCACATTTTCAGGAGAGAAAATGGAAACTGGTTACAAAAGGGGTCTGATTTTTATAGGGGTTAAGTGAGAGTTAATCGTAGAAGAATATTAGTGTGACTTAATCATTAGAGACTTTTTAAAGCAGAAAGTGTTGGTTGAGCAGTCAGGAAAACAGTTGTTGAACCATTGATTGCGAGAGTTCAGAGCCTGTTGTTTTCCTTCTCTCCCAACCTGTTGACCTCCTTTCTTGCTGGGGTTTTTTGTTTTCCGCATCCTTCAACTTGGATAAAATTCTCTTGCTTGACTTTCAGTCTCTGGCTTTAAATTTTCTTTCCTCTGAACAGAGGAACTGAGGTTTGGAGCTTCAGCTCCCTGCTCTTCTGTGATAATGTCATTGCCACTAAAATAAAAGTGTAGACCAGCTATATATCAAAAGTTCCTTATGTTGCTCCATTCCTCCACCACTAGCCCTTGGCAACCATTGATCTGCTATCTGTCCCTGTTGTTTTGCCTTTTCCAGAATGGTATTGAAATAGAATCCTATTATATAGAGTAAAAGCTTGCACCTTTTGGTGGTGAGAGGTAGTGCTTGGATTGAACCCAGAGATACCATCATTCTAAGCATGCAGTCTACCACTGAGCTATGCCACCATTCCAGTTTGCACCTTTTTTATTTCTAAATAGTATTTCATTGTATGAATATGCCAGAATTTGAATATCCATATGCCAGTTGAAGAACATTTCAGTTTGTTTCAGTTTCTGGCTGTTACGAATCAAATCACAATAAACATTCATTTAGGAACTACTTTTTAAAATAGGAATTGCTTAGGGATGCCCAAGAGTGATCAATTGGGCAGTGTGATAGTATGGAAAAAGACTGAGTGGAAAGACATCATAAAACATGGAATCTCATACTAATTTTATATCAGTTCTCCATGATTCAGAGAGTTGAACTGCTCTCTGCCTTTTTTTTTTTTTAAGAAAATGTGTATGAATTAGGGCTTATTCTAGTTTTAAAATAACATGATTTTGTGCTATATAGGTAAGGCATTTATTGTTGTTTTTTCTGAGAAATTATAAATGATCATACTATAAACAAAAATAACCAACATGGTTTTGGCACCATAATGAAAATACAAATAACTGAGACAGAAACAAACCTCAAATGGGTCAGCCAGCTTTTCTTTATTCCCCAGTGTAGTCAATTAATCAGGCATGGAAGGGCTCATTTTCTGGGTATGGAAAAGGCCTGCAGGTTACAGAAGAAGTCTGAGTTTTATATTTACAATAAGAGTGAATTAATTATTGGAGACTGTGGATATGCTGTTCGGACAATCAGAGACCTAGTTGTTAAAATTTTAATTTAGGAAGACAGTTGTAAGAAGTTTGAAACTCATTGTCACTGGGAAAAGCTCAGAGCTTGTGTTCCCTCCTTATCTTCCTTCCTCTGGAACCCATTGCTACCTAGAGCTTCACTATTTGCTTTTCTCTCTAGGACTCATTGGCAGTGGGGAATGGTTAAAGTTCAGGGCCCAGCGGTTCAGTATCCACTTCCTACCTTCAGGACCCACTATGGTTGGGAAGGGGTGTTTGCTTTCAGTGGAGGTGCTGGGGATGAACCCAGGAAGGAATGAAAGTTTGCTTTTTCCCTTGGGGCCCATTGTTACTAAGAAAAGATAAACTGGGAGAGGTTTAATGTTTGGCTAATTTCCCTCTCTCCTCCTGAGCCACACTGTTTTTCCTCAGGGGCTGTCTTGTAGGAATATTATTTTGCATAATCCTTCACACATATTTTATAAAACTAAATTCTGTAAAATATGTATAACCAATATTTAAATTTAGGAGTCATTTTGTCTCTAAGTCCAATCACAAGTAGTTTGAAAAATAACAATTTGTTTAATGAATTTTAAAGGTCCCTATAATTAATCTTAGGCTTTTTATTAACTGTGTGATCCAACTGATTTTGCATTTGAAAAGTTATTTTGATAAAAGTTTTTGGTAAATGTTTTCTTTCAAAATATCTTAGACTTTATTTTTAATACTTTTTTTTTTTTTTTTTTAATTTAGATGGGTCTAGGAAAGACAATCCAGGCCATTGCAATTGCTTACTTCTATAAAGAGGAGTGGCCTCTTTTAATTGTGGTGCCTTCATCCCTGAGGTGCTCCTGGACAGAAGAAATAGAGAAGTGGATTCCAGAGTTAGAACCTGAAGAAATCAATGTTATTCAGAATAAAACTGATGTTGGGTAAGAACAACTTTTTAATCTTTAAGGAAAATAAAAACTTTTTGTGTGTATTTAGTATATTCTTATTTTTTGAATGGAATATAACCTATAATTAGATCATCATTTAGCAGTAAGAGAGTAAAGAATTTGACTTTATATTTTACAATTTGAATTATTTATCTAAAATACACTAACATATTTAATCTAAGTTCCCTTATACTTTATTTTACTTATTTATTTTTGGTACCAGGGATTGAACTCAGGAACACTGAATCACTGAGTCACCTTCCCAGCCCTATTTTGTATTTTATTTAGAGAGACGGGGTCTCACTGAGTTGCTTAGTGCCTGGCCTTTGCTGAGTCTGGCTTTGAACTTTCAAATCCCTGTCTTAGCCTCCGGAGCCACTGGGACTATAGGTGCCCAGCCAGCCCTTATATTCTAAAAGTAAATATAAAATATGTATACTTCTAAAGATATATGTATTTACTTTACATATACCTTAAATATGCTTAAAACTCTTTTAGGTTTCAAAAATAAAGTTTATAATTTTTCAAAGATTAACTTGAAACTGGATGAACTTTTATGTTCAGAAACCATGGTGAATTTTGCTTTCCAAGTTGTTAGTTAATACACAAGTTTTATGTGATGCAAAATTAATATTAGCAAGTTCAATTTTATTCATATTATTTATAATTTTGATAATTTATATTATGAAAACATTAGCTTAGTGAATATTAGAAATCAACTTTCTAAAAATCTGTCATAGAATTTCTAGGATATTTTCTCATTTTCTTTATAGCCATTGGGATAATCAACTGATTTAAAAAATTCATAAATTAAATTTCATAAATCAAATTTACTGATTTAAATTATCATTTTCAAAGGTTCAAATTATTGGTTTTGAAAGCAGCACACAAAGTTTAAAAGCAATACATCTACCTAAAATAAATATCTATTAATACTTGGACTTTTTAATGTGTGTGTGGTATTATTGCATTGTACTATCTTCTATAAGACTCTTGGTATATAGTGTAAAAAGCTTTGTGTTAATGAATTGGAAAGAGTTAACAGAGAATAGGTTTCAACATTGGAACCCTAATTCATTAGCATATGTGTTTATGGGTCCAAAGAAATTTGGCCACTGTTTGCATGAATAAATTAAAATGCAGGTGATCATTATGCATAAATTTTTCTGTTCTCCAATAAAACTGCATCAAATTGAAAAGACAATAATCTAGATGATATTGAATGTATTAAGAGGATTCCTAAATCATTTTCTTTTTGTTATACATTATTTAAATGTCTGCATTTAAATATTCTTAAAAATATCTCCTCTGCATCTTTTTTTAATAATTTTTATTATTAGTTGTTCAAAACATTACATAGTTCTTGACATATCATATTTCATACATTTGATTCAAGTGGGTTATGAACTCCCATTTTTACCCCATATACAGATTGCAGAATCACATCGGTTACACATCCACTTTTTTACATACTTCCATACTAGTGTCTGTTGTGTTCTGTTCCTCTGCATCTTTTATTGAATTTAGATCACCTAGTTTTATTATCATTTCAGAAATATACTCTCTTGAAATTAAATAGTGGCTAATACTTTTATTTGAATAATATTTGGGATATGTTAGATAGGACTACAACCCCAGTGTATGTTTTCTGGAGGATATTAACTAAGGGCAGAAAAACTACCTAGTCTTTCAGATTCTTAATGAACTACCTTTAGGTACATACCAAACTGTGCCAACATGTGCTTTTGACAAGTACATATATTTTCCCTGGCATATTATGGCAGTTATGCCTAGACTGTGCACTGGTTAAGACATGGCAAGATAGAAGCCACAGAGACTCCTGCATTGGTCTTCAAAGCTTTTGTCTTAAGTATTATTATACTGTACCCAAGTTAGTAATATTAACCTTATACTTTTTTCTGCAGGCTCTTTTGATGTTTGAATACAGTAAGAGAAGCATAGGTCTCTGTATAAAGTAAATTTATAGAGGGCTTAAAATATAATTACCATTTAAGAGCTCTGATGTTCTATCAGAAGGTAGAGAATGGCCCTCTGTATTTTTTCATTGGTGATATAGAAAATGCAAAAGTGATATCTTTTAATGTTCATGAATTTATTTATCTCATTCCAAAAGTGTTTATTGGTAGCAAAGCATTGTATATACAAATATCAATAAAACTCATTTTCTACCTTTAACAATTTCATTCTACAGTAATGGAGATATATAAATATAAAATATGTAAAAATATGTAAATGAATAAAATATTATAGATATGTGAATTATGGAGATCAAAAGATCAGGATTCTCTTTAGCTAACTGATTCTCTATATAAGATAGTAAGCTCCTCCTCTTCTAAAAATACCCTTGAGCCAGGAGATGACTGAGGGACTCCATTGGCGATTTATATA